AAACTCGCCCTCCTTCCTGCAGGGGTGGAACCCTACCTCAGCCTTTGTCTCTGAACCTACGGGCTTGTTAATCCGCCGCAGAAAGGCCGGGTGCTCCAAACTAAGTCCAGGAGAGAGAACACAACTATTAAATATTTCCAGAAGTTGTTTCATCTTTTTTTTTTTTTTAAATCAGCCAAGATAGAAATTCCTCTGTCAACATAATTTTTGCTTGCTTGTAACTTGGTAGTATCTGTTAGAAAAGGGAGAAATCCCTCCTTAGTGCTCCAAATCACAAAAGAAAAATGTGAATTGGAGGACATCCCTGTCAATTATCTTAGGTATGAAAGAGGGAGGCAAGACACCTTTAGAGAGAGAAGCACAGGCCACAGTCCATTTGAGGAGCTTGACTCTGTTAATATCTGTCTGTCCCTCCATGTAGTGGCAGGGGCAGGATGGGGCTTATCTCCAATTTGTTTTTGTTTTCTTTTTTTGGCCTTTAAGTTAAAGAGGAAAGTCAATTCACTAGCAGATTGTGGGGAAAACAGCAATTCCAGGAAATATGATCAGTAATTAATGTTACTTTGGGTAGAAATTCAAGCTGAATTGAAAATCCCCTATGACTGTTTCTTGGCTATTTGGACATTGTATTCGTTGCCTTATAAAAACAACTGATTTATTAATTAGTAAGTTTGGCAAAAGGGCCTCCCCTGTTCACTGGCCAAAAATTCACTCATTTCAGATTTCCTCTGAAACATTAAAAAAGGCCCATCCAGCCACCTGCTACCGCCCCCTCCGCCGCCCTTCCAACCCCACGTCTTGTTTCTCTGCTCACAACTCCTAGGAACTTCCAGTGGCTGGACTGAGGGCCTGGGGGGACTGGACACAACTGGGACAGAAGACTCCTCATTGCTTCTCACAAACTTTGCTTTTCCTTCTTTTACCTTTTGCTGAGGGATTTGAGTGCTGTTTGCGAGGAGGAAAGAAATAGTCTAAAATTTTTATCAGTTTGACTTTGGTTTTGAAGGTCTTTGTGCTTATTGCTGTGATTTGGAGTATAATTAAATATCTTGGGAGTTGAGATGAAAAGATCCTAGTTCTTCTTCTAGAATCTACTTAACTCTGCCCTTACGACAGAGTCAAAGAGGACTAATCAATTCCTAGCCATTTATGCCTTTCATATGCAAACCAAACAATTCAGAGCTCCTAACCCCACCGCCTCCTTTATCTGGCCCTCACACCCTGGGCCATACCATCTGCCCTCATCACCCTAGCGCCAGGTACCAGATAATTAGGGACAGCTCAGTGTCCCAGGGCCCAGCAAAATGATTCAAACTAGCAAATCCTAAACCGCTTACCTGCCTCACCCATTCCTTCCCATGGAAACCACGATAAAGGCTCTTGCCTACACTTTGCCTTTGCTCCTTTTGCCTCCTGATTTTTTAAAAATTAATTAATTTATTTTTGGCTGTGTTGGGTCTCTGTTGCTGTGCGAGCGGGGGCCATCTCTCGCTGCGGTGCGCGGTCTTCTCACCGCTGTGGCCTCTGTTGTTGCGGAGCACAGGCTCCAGAGCGCAGGCTCAGTAGTTGCGGCACACGGGCCCAGCTGCTCCGCGGCATGTGGGATCCTCCCGGACCAGGGATCGAACCTGTGCCCCCTGCACTGGCAGGCAGATTCCCAACCACTGCGCCACCAGGGAAGTCCCTTGCCTCCTGATGTACACTGTTGCTCCCCTAGTGCCCTGGTGGTGCATGCAGTGTGCCGGCTCCTCTTGGGATCTGTGAGTATAACTAAGCTATCTTTTCAATGGCAGTTGTCTCTTGACCTGTTGGCCGTGTCGTACCTGAATTATAATAAAACTTAGGTTTAAAAACACCAAGTCATGAGCTGGGGTCCTCATCTCCATAGAAGGAGGGCTCATCTCCAAGGAGACGAATTAGAGAATTCATCCACACAGAGCAGACCCCTGTTTTAATGTACAGGAAATGCCCTGGAAGGAATATGCTGTGTAGGTCGTTCCAACAGAAAATCATCCATCTGTAAATTATAAACAAAGCTTCTTGGAATCAGGCCCCTGCCTTTGAGGCCTTCTCTTCGGCCACTTGGGTATCAGCAGTGCCTCTTGACTTAGCGGTCTCTCTAGAATTCAAGCCAAATGGTGGCAGTGCTGCGGAAAGGGAGGGGGTCCTCATCGGAAGTGGCACAACGACGTCAGGCCTCAGCTCTCATGTGTTCTAACGCAGCCTATGTGTTTCTGACTCTTTGTCTTCTGAACGGTTTCAACTCTGAGGAAGGTCTGGGGAAATGTTCTGACCTTTTTTTGCCTATACCCTTCTCCAAATATTCTTCCCTTGGTGAGTACCCTGCATGCATCTCTGACCTGCCCCAATTTCCTTTGGATATAAATGTTATTCTGTCCAGTAACCTTCTCTACTACCTTTTGTCACTTTGCAATTAGTCACATTTAAATTTCTAGGATGAGATCTTAACATCCTGAAATGCTTTGGGAGCTGTTGGGAATAGGATTTTCAAAGCTTCCTATCAAACTTCCTCTGGGGCAGTTTCCTGGCTTGGGGGGCGGTTAGGGAGGAATCAGTAGAGGGTAGTCTCAGCAGAGCCTTTTTTTCTAGTCAGGTCCACTTTGACTAAATCTGGTTTGGGGGCTTTTCCTTTAAATTGGGTGCCTGTGTGCTGGTTGTGACTTTCTGGCAGGGAGATCCTACCTTCCACCGTCAATATTGTGGTGGGGCTGGATCATGAATCTTCCTTTCCTTTGTTCCCTTCTCCAACATCCTGGAGGTCAGGCTTTGTCCCACGCAGCTTGGAAATTTCCCTACCACACACCTTATTTTTCTCCTATGGTGAGGACTGATAGAGCCACACATTTCTGTTGCTGATCACAACATTTTTGCTAAAACATGACCATTTCTCCCCTGAGCCTTGGAAGTGCCGGAAGAGCTTTGACAGGATTTCTTCCCCCCCCCCCCCCCCCCCCCCCCCACTCCGCCTTCTTTTGTGTATTTTGCCCCTTTGGGGGGATTTGTCTTCAACAGTTATAAGGGGCTGTCTTTGCATTTCCTTCTGGTGTTAAATTAAAATACGAATTAATTTAAAAGTAATAAATGATTAATTTAAAATTAAATGATATTAAAAATAAATCAAGTAATGATTGAGTTAGGCTAACTTTGCATAAAAGTGACTAGTCTCCTTGGCAGTAAAGACACCCGGCAATAGATCAGATCAGTTGATTCATCCTCACCAGTGTAGCCGGCCAGAGTTTCAGAGCTTAGCAAGGTCTTATCACCCTGCTCCCCGGGACAAAATGTTAGTCACCTAAATATGTTGTTGCCTCTAACTCTACATTGCCCCTGTCTACAATGGTAGGCAGACACTAGGACCCAGAGGAGCGCAACATTTTGCCACCTGCACTAAGGAGGTAGTGGGAGCACAGATCCCAGGGTGAAAGCCTGGAACCGAGTCTCTAGAACCAGAATGGGAGTAACTGCCACTCATTGCAGACCACAGGGATTCTGTGATTTTAGTGTGAATGAACGTTATAAAATGCACCACTATAACTTGGCCATTTTAACACCTTTATATTTATATGGGCTTTATTTATATTCAACATGTGATGTATTTTGAAGGAAAACAGGTGCAAGTGGTAGCAAGAATTATTTTAGACATGGATTTAAGACTGAATGGCTCCAAATTCTTTGCATAATTGAATTCCCAGGGATAAGCTTCAATATCGTGCAAATACGCAGCACCCTAGTAAACAGATGAAAAAAAACACTAGACCCTGAATGTTTTCGAAGAATTCCCGTGGGAAAATCACAAAGGCTATTAAGTTCTGTGAATAATTCTATTACACAGTTATGTCACTCAGTGGCTAGATAAATATAAATTTGCTGAGTGTTTTTGAGGGCGCTTGGTACAGAAGCAGGCACTTAAAATGATTATAAAACATACAATTCCTTGTCCAGGATAAAGATTTTTTGTATAGACAAATGGGCTTAAAATACCTTGCCAAAAGCTTGAATTCCTGAGGCCACTGAGAAAGATTCTGCTTTGTACTTTTAGGGATCTGCTTAATGTGAGCCCCTACACAAATTTTCTTAGTCTTCCAGTAATTGCCTTTCTGTATTTTAAGTGACTTTTATTATAATGGACTTGATTTTTAATGTTAGTTTTTAAAGTTTACGTTTCTCTTTTCTTTCTTCTCTTTTAAGGTACAACACTGACATTTCCTATGTTACAGGGCCAAACATCAGAAAAAATAAATATCTGTAGTAGAAATTCACTTAGAGTGTTTAAGGAATCATGTAATCAGCGGAGGCCACGTCTGGGTAGTAGTATAAGTCTTGTGCATCTGATGATTATAATTTTAAATATCAATACTTCAACGCTGTTAAGATTTTAATAATTTTTTTGCCATTTATTTCATCGCAAATTATTCAGTCATCCAAAACAACTTCATCTGCGTGATCTTTGACCTTTTATTCTTACTCAATTAAAGTCTTACAGGGATTTTTCTTTTTTACATCTTAAGTGTCAATGTTGAACCTCCACTGAGAGAAAAGCAAGGCACAGATTGTCATCACATTATTCAACATGATGCTTTTGATCTTTTGCAGGAAGTTCTTTTCTTCCCTTCATCCAAAAGCCTGAACATTTTCTAAAGAAGGGCTACTGCGAAAACCCTGTGCTCACTTGCCAGCTTTCAGATGAATGAGACTGCTAATGATTTAGTGAAAATGGTAATGGTTTCAAAACTAAAAGGGAAACATTACTGGAAGAACGACAAATCTCAGAGAGAGAAGAAAACAAAGCCCATGAAAGAAAGAAGAAAAGAAAGCAAGAAAGGAAGGAAAAAGGAAAGAAAACAAAGTAAAAGTAGGTGTTGTTGCTACAGCAGTTGTTTTTGATGTTGTTGTATTTGTTCTTTAGCAAAACACAACACTGAAGAAAATGCACACTAATGTCAGGGAAAAGAAAAGAAATGCACTTGAAAGATGGGGAAGAAAGCAAAACTGTTTAAAAGTTTGTAAAGTCCACATTCTCACTCTTCTCCCCCAAAAATTAAAAGAGTCTCACATTAGTCTATTTTGTTTTATCAACTTTATTTCTAAAGACAGAATCGGCTTTCTTTCCCTATTTAAAATGTTTCTGTGTAATCTTTCTAGTAAAAACTGTAGGAAAATACCATGTACTTCTGTTTTAAAATCTCTTATCAAAATAAAAATAACTACCAAAATCTCAAAGTATTATGTTCTTAACATCCAAGGATATGGAAACAAAGAGAAATAAACAGTGAGGAATATTTCGAACCTATGGAAGACATTTTCTAAGAATTCCTGTGTCATTACCATGTAACACTGGGATCAATTCTAGGAGAAAAATCTTAAGGAAACATATTAACCTTTGAATTAATGTCACAGAAACTCCCACTATAGTCTGTTTTTACAAATGACAATTGTGTTGACCTTGAAAATCTTCAAAATGGGCATTTTCGGGTAGAACTATGTTTTTTGGGTCGTTGTTTTCTAGAAATGAGTTGTTTGGCTGTTTTTTTATGCACGTGTGTGTGTGTGTGTGTGTGTGTGTGTGTGTGTGTGTGAGAGAGAGAGAGAGAGAGAGAGAGAGAGAGAGAGAGAGAGAGAGATAACAGTAGTATTTATAGTTTCTGGCCAAATGATACATTTCTAAGCCTTGACAAGTTGGAATGTGGAATCTTTGAGTCCCATTCATTTGCCATATGGTGAGTGAAGACACCTGTTTTCATCCTTTTATTATTGCTATCATGGCTAGAAAAAAAATGAAAGTTTCAAAGAACCATAATGTGCTTGTTTTCAAATTAATACAATTATGTAAATTTCTAATTTGTAAACCATTTGCATCTTAAAAAAATTTTGTTTTCCTATTAAAGGACTAAGTTGGTTTTTAAGTTGATACTAAATAGATATTTTCAAAGCAGTAGCTGAAATCAGATTTCCAACTTTTAAAATCTAAATGTCATTACATTTCACTCTGTTGTTACTCTAATTTAATTTCTCAGTTGGGGGCTGCTTAGCCTTTAGCACTGATTTGTATGAGGAAAGGCTCTCTGTGGGTTTTACACAGTTCTGTTCTCATTTTAAAAATTGACTTTGGAGTTGGTACCTTGGAAAATAATTAGAGGTAAGATGACTTGATAAAGAGGCTCTTTTGTTGCTTCCAGAACTGAATCCCTTCACAAGAATTGGTCCTCTTGTCACAAATGCTGTGCAGAAGTATGGCAGCAGAATTCCAGCTGACCTGTCCTCATGTTGTTCGCAAATTGTGATGCTTGTGAAAGAGTGGACTTCAGGAGGTGCTGGTGAGTTACAGAACTAGAAGAAGAGTTTAGGTGTTATATCCCATTCTTGGAATAAAGGTGGTCTGTCTTCCATCAAGAGGAAAAGAATATGCAGGGCCACCTACATCTCTGCAATGTACTTTCTCTGAGTGGGTTTGCAAAGGATGGTTCCATTAAATTACTGATTTGAAATCTTTTGTATTAGAGTTGTGTTCAGAATGATCCATAACGTGGGGGTCTTTAGATGGAGAAGAGTAGACTCTACTGCTGGTCCTCTAGAGAGATTTTTAAATTATAGTTCACAGATGTGCCTGGTGTGTTGTTTGTCCAGGAGAGAAACCAATACAAATCTTGATCCCTTTAGTCCAAAGAAAGAGCCACATTCGAGGCAACCTGCCCGAGGGCAGGGAGAGTAGCTTGGTTTCCAAGTAATCCCTCAAAGCGGCTAATCCTAGGGGAGCGTTTGGTAAACATTAACTGAAATAAATAGAACCATTGTTAAAACACACTTAGATGTTTTCATGTGTCATGGTTCATATACCAGGTGAGCCACTAAAGTTTAATATTGTTTTGTGTTTACTATATAATGTCAACAAGACCTTGTTTTCATTGGAGTCAGAAGCTATGAGTATCTAAGGAGCTATTACTGCTTATATCCTGTCCTCTATGGAAGTTATTTTATGTATTTATTCTGATTGTACCAGAATAATTCTCTAAAAACAAAATATTTAAACTAAGGATCTGTTTTATTGCACAACAAAGCATTGTGTTTGATTCTTTTTTCCACTAAAAAGTTTTCGATTAAATGTCTATTAAGTCACATATTCAGTACATAAATATTAAGAAAATGATGCAGAAATCCAAGCTTACACTTAAGAAACTCTGCTTAATTCCCACAGACTCTCTTTTTTCACTGGGAGGAAAGGAAGGAAGAAGAGAAGAGGGAGAGAAAGAGAGAAGGAGATGGGCAGAGAGGGAGAAATTTTTCTTTGTTAGGAAAGGATGTGTTCTGTACTGTATAAGCACTCCAATTCATCCAAAGTCGTCTCATTAGAACAACTCACTGTAGAGAGAAATTTGGTAAAAAACCAGCCTGGCTCAAAGGCTCAAAATAGACTTCTTGTAATGATGCTTCATTGATAACATATTTAGTCACAGAGACCCCTAAGGCTGTATGACAGTCAGGCTCAGAAGCATCTTAACTACTAACGTAACATAAAGTCAACTGAGAGTACTTAGGTTCTAACAGTCTACACACACTGAATCCAATGGTTAAGTAGTAGAAAGTCCACACACTATTTGAAGTTGCTTAAGTCATGCTCATCCTATACAAGTTACGAGGTAGCCAAAGAAGTAGCTAAGCATCTTACCAGAGGGCAAAGCAAAAGAAAAGGGGATCATTAAGAAAGTATTAATATTTATTTGATAAGTGATCTCCTGGGTTATACAGTACTTTCTCTTTATCTAAGTCCTTTGGGAGACCTTTGAATTGTAGGTGGCATTTGTATATTCCCCAATGGAAGGAGAATACGGTCTACTCTATCCTTTAAAAGACTCTGAATGTCAAGTGCAGAGCTGCCCCAAGGAGAGGCAAGTATTGGATACATTTGGCTTCTCTCCCAGCACCAGTGTCGCTTCCCTTTTTCAATCAAGAGATGGTTGGTACTCACAGACACCGAGCTGGAAATGACTGCATGACCTGAGGAGAGGTTAGCCTTCTAAACATCTCCATTCCACCAGGACGTCCAGCTTGGCCAGGTTATAACTAGAAATGAAAGAGGACCCCAGGCAGCGCTTGAAGGTTAGTCTTTAGGTCAGGTTCTTTTTCTCCTGCCCTTATTGTCGTTCGAAATACACTTACTAGCTTTTGGAAGATTGGTCACTAAACTACTGACATTTTCCCTTTCCGATCGAAAATTCTGCTATTTGATGCAAGCACATTTCTTAGAAAGACAACGAGAAGCTTGCCGAGCAAGCTCACTCGAGTCCTTGGTTTTGAACACTGCAAGCAGTATTACAAGTTATATTTCTAGGTACTGAGATGGGCCACACCGCATCAGTTCACTGAACTGAAGATGCCAGAGAGTGAAGTCTTCTTCTTTGATCAAAGAATATGATCGGGACTTCCCTGGTGGTCCAGTGGATAGGACTTTGCGCTTCCACTGCAGGGGGCACAGGTTCGATTCATGGTGGGAGAACTAAGATCCTGCATGCTGCGTGGCATGGCCAAAAAAAAAAAAAAAGAATATGATCAGGGATGCTGGCCACCTCTAAGATCATCTCTGGAATGACGGTTGAAGGGATTTCCATCGTTTGGACCAGGTGTCTATTAGAAAGCTAATAAAATGTCTTCTGGACAACTTGAGTTTTGGACCTTGCTGTGTGATGCTGTTGTGAGGGTTAAACTCATGTGTCATTGTTAAAATGTTCTTTTATTCTATAAAGTATAGGTAAGAGGCGCTTTGGTTAAACATATTATATTAATAAATACCACTTTCTCCCTTCACCATCAGAATGATATTTGTCCTGATCATTTATGGGTTCAATACTGCAAACATCTAGGCTCAGTTCTTAAAGAACATTGTCTTGTAAATGTGAATCTAACTCTATGGCATTTCTTCATCATCAAAATGTCACCAACCCTCTCCGATGAGCACCAATACCGTATTATCATGCAAGAATTCTATTTCTGACCAGGTACCCGAACAGAGCAGTCACTCTTCAGCAGTCTTCTCCAGACTTAACATATTCTTTGGTTTAATTTAAAATTAAATAAGCAAATGAAACAAGAAGGGTCCGACGAAGATGAGAAGCAATCCAAATTGAAGTGAGTAGGTTACTGTCCCTCTGTCTTTTCTTCCACTCTCTCTCCAGTAGGAAAAAATGTGATGTGTGGGCTGAGCTACCCTCGGTCGTAATTCCATGCTGTCTTCGCCTATTAGAAAACTTGTCACAATAAACAGTATATTCATCATTCTTCGAGACTACCAATTAAAACCTTTTTAGTAATAAACTGTTATACAATGAATAAACAATGTGATAATTGCACCTTCAAGACATACTAATATAGCAACAATAGACTCCTCTTAAACTTCTGAAGGGGTCTGTTAGCACCGTTGAATAGGTTCATGTCTACTGTGTAGAGAAGATGCCTAAGGTGAGAAGTACATTCCTCACCATCCGTCTATGGCTCTGTGTACATCTGGATACATACTTGATGCCTTCTGGGCAAGAGGAAAGATGTGGTCTGTGGTCTGAATTTGTCCTTTGATGCCTGAACGAGTGGACAGCATGCAAATCAAAGTTCACTAGTACAGTCAGGTCCTCTGAGCAGCTTTGTCACAGAAGTCCCCAATTCTCTGCTGTTGACAGAAGCACTGGGTTTCCATTGTCTTTTCCTGTGCACTTGAGGAAAAGGCTGAATTCCACCTGTGGCCGTCAAACCTCTGAGCTGTCGCTGCGGTGGCCCCGCGGGGGCATCATGGGCTCGGTGCTGCCGGAGCCCTTGGGGGTGTCCTTCCTCCTGCCGCTCTTGCCCTGGCGCATCATCACTGCCATGGCAGTGAGGCAGAGTGCGAGGAGTCCCACCGCGACGCCTCCCACCACCGTGACCAGGCTGACCTCAGAGGTGGGATGGTTGAGCTCCCGGGGGAGGACGCCATCAGGAGGAACCCTCCCCTGGGGGATCTGCTTCCTGCTGCTGCGGTCCAGGGCGATGTGCTGGATGTTTGTTCCTCGGTTGTTTTCAGCCCCGATTTCCCACACCAGCGGGGGTGTGCTCCTGATTTCCCTCTTCTTCCGGCTCTTGGAAGTTGCCTGGGGCTTCCCTTTACTCACCAGAGAGTGGTACTGGTACTCCACGCTTCGTTTGCCAAGGCCTCGATTGGCGTTGTCTTTGGATCTTACTGTGTAGATGGTGTGTATGTACCATTCTCGACCCAGAGAGACCTAGGAAACATGACTCTATTCATCAGAAAATTAAAGCCTGTGCCAACCTAAACATTCACGACTCTGCAAGAGAAGCTCATGGCACAGATAATAATCATTTAACTTAGTCCGCAGAACTCACATCCGTAATATTTTTACACGTGTAGTATGCGCAAGGCTTTGTGTAAAGCGCTCTATAAAATATGCCGTGCGGCTCTTAAGGGAGCACGTGGTGGTAAATATTTGGTAAGCTATGACTTGTCAGAGCTGTAGAGAACTCCGGATCACACAGTCTCACTTACTCATTTAAAAGATGAGCGAATGACACAGATATAGAGCGTAAACCAGTGGTTACCAGTGGGAAGGGAGGGGGGGCAATATAAGGGTACAGGAGTGGGAGTACAAACTATTGGGTGTAAGGCAGGTTCCAGGGATGTATTGTACAACATGGGGAATGCAGCCAATATTTTGTAATAACTGTAAATGGAGTGTAACCTTTTAAAAAGTGTACAAAAATTAAATAGTAAAAAATGAGTAAATGAGAATGTGTAGCAGTTAAGTGACTTGCCTAAGGTCACTGAACTAGTTAGTATCAGAGGCAGGACTAGAGTCAGACCTTCTGAACCTCAAGACTCTTTTCCAGTATGTCTTGCTGTGTATTTTACACATAAGGCCATAGAAAAGGTCAGTTTTTCTGCTTTTCAGGGTTTGTGAAAAGAAGGCATTTTCTGATGGCTCTTTGAAGCCTTCAGGATTTAGAAGAGGTCAAGTGCCTTCAGAGTTCACATTAAAAACAAAAACAAAACAAAACAAATCATACTTTAACTTAACTTCCTGTTTGAAAAGATTCAGAAGAACAGACATGCTTTCTCAAGCATCCTTCTTTACGAGGAATAAAGATAACATATTTCTCCAGCCCATCCTGTCTGGACAATTTTCAGTAAACATCCTAAAAGATGCACTTGCTCCCCCAAGGATTCACAGTGTGGACACGTCTCTGAATTTGTCTCATTTGTCTGCTCAGTGTTATGGTCTCCTGGGTCTCTTTCTACCTTCTATCTCTAGGTTAGAACTTTCTATCTTCGTTTATAAAGTATTTAAGAATAGAGATTCCATTACTCAGCCATAAAAAGAAATGAAGTTGAGTTATCTGTAGTGAGGTGGATGGACCTACAGTCTGTCATACAGAGTGAAGTAAGTCAGAAAGAGAAAAATAAATACCGTATGCTAACACATATATATGGAATCTAAAAAAAAAAGAAAAGTTCTGAAGAACCTAGGGGCAGGACAGGAATAAAGACACAGACATAGAGAATGGACTTGAGGACACGGGGAGGGGGAAGGGTAAGCTGGGACGAAGTGAGAGAGTGGCATGGACATATATACACTACCAAATGTAAAATAGATAGCTAGTGGGAAGCAGCCGCATAGCACAGGGAGATCAGCTCGGTGCTTTGTGACCACCTAGAGGGGTGGGACGGAGGGTGGGAGGGAGACGCAAGAGGGAAGGGATATAGGGATATATGTATATGTATAGCTGATTCACTTTGTTATACGGCAGAAACTAACACACCATTGTAAAGCAATCATACTCCAATAAAGATGTTAAAAAAATACAACCTGATTTAAAAAATAGGCAGAAGACCTGAGTAGACGTTTTCCCAAAGAAGACATACAGATGGCCAAAAGGCACACGAAAAGATGCTCAACATCATTAATCATCAGAGAAATGCAAGTCAAAACCACAATAAGCTGTCACCTCTCACTGGTCAGAATAGCTATCATGAAAAAGAACACAAATAAGGTGAGGATGTGAAGAAAAGGGAACCTTTGTATACTTTTGATGGGAATGTAATTTGGTGAAGCCACTGTGGAAAACAGTATGGAGGTTCCTCAAAAAACTAAAAATAGAACTACCATATGATCCAGCAATTCCACTCTTGGGTATATACCTAAAGAAAACAAACATATTTATTCTAGAAGGTATATGCACCCCAATGTTCATAGCAGCACTATTTACAATAGCCAAGATATGGAAACAACCTAAGTGTCCATCAACAGATGAATGGGTAAAGAAGATGTGGTATATATATGTACAATGGAATACTACTCATCCAGAAAAAGATTGAAATTTTGCCATTTGTAACAACACAGATGGACTTGGAGGGTATTATGCTCAGTAAAATAAGTCAGACAGAGAAAGCCAACTACTGTATAATACCACTTATATGTGGAATCTAAAAAATAAAACAAACTGGTGAATATAAGAAAACAGAAACAGACTCACAGATATAGAGAACAAAGTAGTGGTTACCAGTGGGGAGAGGAAAGTAGGGGAGGGACAAGATAGGAGTAGGGGATTAAGAGGTACAAACTACCACATATAAAATAAGTAAGCTACAAGGCTATATTGTACAGCACAGGGAATATAGCCAACATTTTATAATAACTATAAATGGAGTAGAACCTTTAAAATTGTGATACTATGTTGTACCCCTGAAACTTTATTCTATTTCAAAATAAATTTCTTTATATTAAAAAAAAAAAAAAAGAATAGAGATTCCTGGGCTGTGCACAGTTGTGTCTCTGAGTTCAGCAGTTCACACAAGATCACTCTTATAAAGGTGGCCATAAAAAGTCAACCGAGAGGAGGTTTCGAACAGTAAGAGCAGAGTTCCCAACCATCACATTTAGATTTATATTCTGGACTGAATAAGGGTCTTCATTACACGTAGACTTAAAATAACATGAATACATTAATAAACATAATAATAGCTAACATTTATGGAATGTTCACTATGAGCCCAGGAGGGTCTGGTGTGGTTTACACGCGTTATTTTACTCAAAGTTCACATTAACTCTACGCAGTATGACAAGTACTGCCTTCTACATGGGAGACATCTGAGGTGCTCAGATGTTAAGTAACTTGCATGTGGTTACACACCTCTTGTAAGTGACCTTGTCATTGGCCCACCTGAAAGAGTGGTGTTGAGTCGACTTTAAATCCATCGGATCCAGGCTGATTCACTAACAAGATAGCTTCAGGGTCGTCCACTGCCAGTTTGGCGTTAAACAGGACATTTCCGAAACTGGTGGCTTGTGTCTCCGGCTGAGCTTTGTCCTTTAGGCAATAAGGAAAATGAGGATTGCTGCAGATAATGCCAACTTTTGCAAATGCAGAAGGTTTTCCTATTAGTTTTGCGCAAGTACCAATTACAGTAAGTCCCCTACACATGAACCTTCAAGTTGCGAACTTTCAAAGATGCAAACGTGCATCCGCGTGTCCAATCACGTAAATTAGTTCACGTCTCTGGGGTACATTGTCATGTGTTGCATCCTCTACAAGTGGTTGTGCTTTTGTGTACTTTACTGTACAGTACTGTATAGAGTGCGGTAGTACAGTCTCTTTATTTCAAGCCCAGGATGTCCAGAAACGAGCGTAAAAACAGCAGTGACGTAGCGGCTACAGTATAGCTGATTGTGTAAGTTGGGCATCTAGGCTAACTTTGTTGGACTTACGAACAAATTGGACTCACGAATGCGCTTTTGGAACAGAACTCATTCATATGTAGGGGACTTACTGTACCATAAAATGCCACCGTTTGGTTTCCTTTAAAAAGATGCTGTTGTTTTAAAACAGAAGACAAAAACCATTAGCTTTGCGTATCTAGCCAGTTCACTGTTTGGGCCAAAGCACTTACCACAATTTTAAATCTATATAAGAGTGAAGGAGAGTCAGCCAAGCAGCCATATTCTGCGTTCTGTGGATTATACTTGGGAACGTAGCCGTCAGCCCCGGTGCACAAGAACACCTTCTCAATGCTGCAGTAGAAGGAATCGCCCAGGTTCTGGACAGGATCCACCATGACCCGACCATAAATCGTATCGCCTGAAACAGAGACATGGAAATGTTATTTCTGTTAAGTGATAAGGTATGTCTATGTGACACTGCAAACAGTTGGTGACCATAATGACACTAGAAAGCATTTCCTTCTCTTCCCAATCTGGCATCACATGTCGAAGCCCTTTTTGCGTTAGCTTCAGGATCTGGTCCGCTCCCAGGCCTCAGATGAGGCCACTTTGCAGACGACCACAGGTACTGGAGATTTACTGACCCTCAACGTGCGCAGCCTGTAGTGGGAATAACCTCAAGGCTTGGCCTATCATTATTTTTTTTTCCAGACATAACTTTTTTCTGCTTTATAACAAAGTGAGTCAGCTATACATACACATATATCCCCATATCTCCTCCCTCTTGCGTCTCCCTCCCATTGGCCTATAATTCAACATTCATAACATCCCATTGTGGTTAAAGTCCAGTTTACATAAGTATATTAGTTGCCAAGATACAGGCAAATCATTACAGAATAACACTAAAGAGAAAACATCAATAAAAAGCTGAATTAGCTTTGATTTTTAAATTAAAAAAAATTTTACTGAAGTATAGTTGATTTACAATGTTGTGTTAATTTCTGCTGTACAGCGAAGTGACTCAGTTATACATATATATATATATATTCTTTTTCATATTCTGTTCCATTATGGTTTATCACAGGATATTGAATATAGTTCCCTGTGCTCTACAGTAGGACCTTGTTGTTTATCCATTCTGTATATACTAGTTTGCATCTGCTAATCCCAAACTCTTAATCCTTCCCTCCCCAAACCCAGCTTTATTTGATTTTGAAAGAGGGTTTAAGGAAACTCCCTGGTATTTCATCATCTCTTTCACAGCTACTACTGAACACCTACCATGTGTACTAGGTATTTTGCTAGGTTTTGGGAATATACCACTAAACAAGACAGGCACAACCCTTGCCCATGAACTATATATTCTCATGGAGCTGCAGTATTGGTGTGTATGCAAATTGAAAAAAAAACATTCAAGGAAAAAAATCCAGACTTGTTTCAAAAGTCATTTAGATAAGGGAAATAGAGGTTAACTTCCCCAGAATAAAAACCATCCTGTAACATATATCCAATTTCAGTGACCCCTCCCTGCCAAAATGATAAAGACCCAGTTATAATCTCAAGACCATAAAGGAGGTTATAATTGTTCCCCTCAAACACGATCTCAATAAAGGACGACAGATATAATGGCAAACAGATGAGCAGGCGTCTCACGTGTAAAGTGATACCTTCTGCAAAGGCAACATCACTCTCTTGTCCAAATCCCATGGATCCATCAGACAACCAGAGACTCTTCTTGGAGAGTAGGTACATTTGCGTGTTCAAGCTAAACTCAGCTGCCACTGGATCACTGACCTAAAACCAAGCGTAAAGGCCCTTTTATGTGTTGTTGATGGTTCTGGTGGTGCACAAACACATTATTTGCAGATACACACATGCATTGTACGCTGACATAAAGAATGGTAAACACTGCACGGAAATGTTCATGTCCAGCCAAACCACCTTCTTAGGGAATTGTAACACTGACTTTGTTCTTCTTAAGAAGACAAAACTGTCAAGGTTACATCATTTTTCGAATGGGACTAACTAGCATGGCTTGAGCTCATTTCCACTGGTTTACTGGAATGTATAAGGGACTTGTAAACAGCGGAAGGCCAACATTTAGTAAGAGTTCTTGGGCAAAAGATGCCATCACATTTCTTTTAATACATACTGGCAATTAGGCACTCTGAGGTGGCATGAGCTACAGGATATTTATTCTCCTTGATGATCAAGGACAAGATGAAGAAGTACAGAACTCTGGGGAAAATTCTCAAATCTCCAAGGCAGCAAACTCCAGGAGGAGATCAGATCCCATAAGAAAAAAAATAACCCTTGCATACTCTTAACCTGTGGATTTTATATACCGAACCCGCAACGGATAAAGGGCAATTCTTTCTTCTTTCCTCCCTTGTTCCCTTCCTGCCTGACTTCCTTTTTTTTCTCAGCATGTAAGAATTGAAGTCATTGGGTGAGAAAAAAATTTCTTTTTTACTGATAAAGGTAAACTGTGACTTTAACCAAGTGGGCTTCTACGTGGGAGAAGATTCTATGAGACACACCTGTTGGAATCGGATGTCAAGGTCAAAAGTGATAGGCTCTCTGGGGTTGCAGTGGACTGGCAGGCGGTACTCCTGGTGTGACGGAGTGGTGCATGGCAGCAGTTTTACAGTATACGTCCCCGAGTAGTCCCGTACCTTTAAGGAGCAGAGACGACATTCGTGTTTTTCATTTAAAAAGCTGAGACGTAGTCAAAGGCAGCAGCAAGGGAAAATTAAGAGCCTTAGTCACTTACTGCAAAGTCAGATACAAAGCTCCATTGCTGGACTGGCTGGTTATAGGTTGGTTCACTCCTTATGAGACGCAGGGAAAACATTAGACCTGGGTGATCAACTGACATGATCATGGAGCTGGTGAAGGCCGCTAGAAAAATGCCAAGAACAATAATGGTCTAGTGGTTAAAAGAGTGCATAACGGTTTGGAGTTTTCAAAGTGCCTTATGATCCCTTATTTGCATGTGTTCTTATCATAAGCCTGCAAAGTAGCAGGGTTGGTATAATAATCCTCATTTTGCAGTTAAAGAAACTGGGCTGCGAGTGATTGTGTGACTCTCCCGGGATCACACAGCTGGGCTGTGTGCCTTTGATTCCTAATGCAGTGCTTTTTCCACTCTATATAATGCTGCCAAAAACTAATTGTACAGAAATGCTCACATAGTTCAGGGCTACCTTCCAGGGAGGCACAGCCGTTCAATAAAGGCTCACTACGCACTGAAGCTATGAACAGAACCTCGGACTATTTGCTCCCACAGAGCCAGGCACACCCAACTTATACATGGAGGCTAATTTTAATTAGATTGCCTCAATCATATCTAAACAAAGATTCAGTCTAATAGAAAGGTAGACACGTGGAAGGGAACTGTAAAGACCAGGAAATCCTCATTTTCCAGAACAGTCAATTACAATAAAGCAAAACGATTCTTTTTGGTTCTGTATTTCAGACTCACAAAAATACAGCAAACTGTCTTTCTCTTCCTGAATTTTCAGCCTGATTCTCTCCGTCCGACCCAGAAGAAAGAAGGACACAGAAGACAGCACGTGAAGTATTTCCCTCTTCCAATCTGACATGAGTTGGCACACCAGGAAGATGTGCAAACCAGTTTAGTAATGCGAAGTCAAATAAAGAATTATTTCTAATGAAATGAAATTTTGTATAAAAGCTTAGACGCGGGACATGAGTGACTGCCACATTATTGACATTCACAGCACAATTCATCAGATTAGTAAAATTACATGGCTAACACTTAAGATGATTAGCTAACGTGTCTGAAACAAGTGTAATAGTGAAGTGGTACTTCTGTCTCCATTATAAAGGTTTCTTACAGTACCTAGAAAAGAGCTGTGCTCGCTGAACAAATGACCTAAAATTCAAATTTTTGGACAACACATTTGAAGTAGAGAATGGGAATGTTGTGGCTATGTTCTCAATCTAAAGGAAAACTCTTAAAATTAACTCAGTAGAGTTTTCTTTTCTTTCTTTATTTTTTTGGCCACGCTGCACGGCTTGCAGGATCTGAGTTGCCCGACCAGGGACTGATCCTAGGTCACGGCAGTGAAAGCGCGGAATCCTAACCACTAGGCCACCAGGGAACTCCAAGTAGAGTTTTCTTTTAAATTTACTTCAACCATTTGGTATTTTCTCTAAAATTCTACAGTGATGATTTTGTAGCTTATAAGACGTAGCCGAGCAATGATCAAGCCCTCATGTAGATGTTTGTCCATACATGGTTCGTTTGAAATTAAGGGCTTCAAAGCTCATAAGGAAGCATGCTGGAACGCGTGCAAATATGGAACAAGTATATCCTTGTTGTGTGGGGAGCGGCTATTCAAGGGTAATGGGGCTTACCGGGATGTGACAGCACAAACAAGCCATGGAACTGAGCCTCTGTCTTGAAGTTCACGACCAAACGCCCCTCTTCACCGATGCGCATGCTAGTTGGGTAGAGAGAACCTATGATGGGATGGGACACAAGAGTGGGAATATTGGTGACCAAGGACTCCTAATGTCTGGGCTTTCTTCCACAACCAAATTCAGGTTCCTCTCATCTTTAAGCATTCTAGCCAAAAGGTATTACCAGAAAAATTCTGAGTGATCAGAGAGGCAGAAATATTCTCATTTTGTTTTGTTTTGTTTTCTAACAGGAAAAGCTGTCTAGAAGGCAGGCAGAATAGAATAAGGTCACATGAATGAGGTCCATATGAAATATACAGAGTGATTACAATAGGCCAAGATATTTCTTAAAGCTTTAGTCTATAGAAATTAAGCTGTAAATTGAGAGACAGGAGGAACTGGTCAAATTTTGAAGATTTGGACATGTAGGTGGAAACAGGTTTGTGCTCTCCAGAGTAATTCCAAATGTTATAGGCTTAATGAAAACTCCAAAACTTCCCCAAGAAATTTAGCAAGGTGACCAAAGTTGGCTACAGATAGAAGGAAACATGAGATCCTTATGTAGAAGTTGATGGATCTGCATTAAGATTCACTTAGTATACATTTCCTAAGGCAAGATATGGAATTAAAACATTTGAAACGATCTAGACTGATTACTTAGAGTGATCATATTACCTTTCACATAGCTTTAAGGTAATTTTAATCTGTTTAAGACAACACACTTTGAGATGTCCTATCAACCGAATTTTCCCTCTGGCTCGTAAGAAGCAATGATGGTTAGACATGCGTGGAGCCTGAACAGCAGTATGTGCCTGAAAAGAAACAGCACTAATTCTACTAATGGATTCATTAGCTTCATGCTTGTGGACTTTGAATTATGATTCTGACATCAAGACTGAAACAAAGTTATGCAGATGATTTGGGGGCCCAAATTGTAGTGGCACGTACCACCACTGTTCCAAGACATTCAGCTAAAGTATTATAGAATAATAGAATTTTTTAACTGAAAGAAAATTAGAAGTCTAGTCTATCTTTCATCAGAAATTGACTGCCAAAGGTCAAGCAATATGTTTGAGATCACACAGTTAGTTAGCTATAGACCCAGAACTAGAATCCAGGACACAGTTTATACTGGGCTTTAAAATGCATCTCCCATTTTCATAAACAAAAATGTGTAACTTTTTCTTTGGGGTTCATTCCTTACTTTCAGTTGGAACTTTTCCCTATCCATTTTCTAAAATCTAGAGAGAGAGAGATTGTGTTGAGTAACACATGAATGATTAATCGCCTAAAATGGACATTATATTTAACAGTCACGTATCATGCAAAATTTGATGCATTGATATAATTTAAAGAAGTTTTTCCATGACAGAAATGATTTGAAAATATTGACTATAAAAATAAAATACATTGAAAGATGCTTCTATTATTTTTAGCTGCAGTAAAAATTTCTCTTAAGTCATTCAAATAGGTAAGAAAACTAGCTTTCCAAGTCTCTGTTAGCTCACCTTGGAGTTCAGCTTCTGGGGGGCTGACAATTCCATCAGTCCACAAGATGGCAGTGTCATACACGAAAGTTAGACGAAGCTCTGACTTCAAGTCAAAATGCTGCCAGCCTCCTACCCCAACGGGGGAATGGAACACGTAGGAAACATACAGAGGGACTCGAAGAGTCACATAGGACTGCACTAGGTTTAGGACCTAAAACAATAAAATTATATCTATCAACACGATTCAGTGTTTCTAATGAAACCAGCTTAATTTTGTGCAAGCCATTTTCTCCTTTCACTTATCTGAAGGTTTTGAGTTAATCATTGAGGAAAGGAAATGACAGCATTTATAACACTACTGTCCCGCTCACTTAATTTGGGAGTAATTAAATAGTTATTACTCTACTACTTTCCTTTGCAGCAAAGGATAGGCAGCAGAAATCTTTAAGCTAAAGTACATTATTTTGAGCATACTAAAACAGTGCTTTTTTTTTTTTGTAGCAGCTTTATTAAGATATAGTTCATATACCATGTAACTCACCTATTTGAAGTGGACAAATCAATGTTATTTAATATATTCAGGGAGTTGTGCAACTTTCACCGCAATCACCGCAAACATTTCACCGCAATGTTTTAGGACATTTTCATCACTTCCAAGAGAAATTCCATCTCCATTAGCAGTCACCCCCTTATTCCATCCTCCCTCCCCAGTCCCTGGCAATCACTAGCCTACTTTCTGTCTCTAGGCATTTGCCTATTCAGAACATTTTACATAAATGGAATCACACAACATATGGTCTTTTGTGACAGGCTTCCTTCACTTAGCATAATGTTTTCAAGGTTCATCCGTAGTGTAGCATGTTTCAATACTTCTATTACTGAATAGCATCCCACTGTACGCATATACCACATTTTATTTATCCATTCATCAGTTGATGAACATTTGGGTTATATCCACCTTTTGCCTATTATGAAAAACAGTGCTGTAAGTTACTTTTAAGTTATTATATAGAGGAAGAGGAAATAAAGCAGCAAAGACCTGAAAGCAAACATATTTAGTAGTGACATGTAACATTTAAGATTCCATGTAATATTTAAGATGGCTCAAAAATAATTAGTTGAAGTGTCTTCTTACAATTTATACTTTCTTCTTTTGTATTTTGCAGGTGGACTGGGGTCATGGAGGATAAGCTAATAATTATTTATTGAGCATCTACCACTTTTCAGACATCGTGTTAAGTTCACAAATAAAGCTACTCAATGTTTTCATTCTTCCCCATAGTTATATTTATATGTATGTGTGGATGATTGAATGAATGGATAGAGAGATGAAGGATAGAAAGAGAGAGAGAGGAAAGTTAAGACTCAAAGAAATAAAGCAAATTTCCCACTTCCTTCTGTTGTAGCCCTGCCAATAATAGACCCCAGCCTTTGGCCCATGCTTTTACTACTCTTTCACACTTTATCGTATTCCAAACTAAGCTGAGGGTGGTCTTAAGATCACCTAACAAAGGTTATCATCCTTAATTCTCAGAATAGCACGGCAGAATAGCAGGGAAAATACAACTATCTTCTTTTACACAAGAGGAAATGGGCTGAGGTCACATCATACTGCTTACAAGTTTGAATCAGGTTTTCTGATAGGTCTATTTCTCCTTCCACCCTGAGGTGGCAACAGGAATCATACATGTGAGTTACTGAATAATCTAAAACATGATAGCTCTTATTTATCATTTTGTCATGGGGTTAAAAGTAAACTCCTCAAATCACCAAAATGACAACCTGAATCACCAACAAAAATGTATCGAAAGAAAACCATCCACCAAGCAAATTATGATTCTCAGCTGTGTAGTAGCTAACACTCATCATCTCCTAACGTGGTCGGCAGGAGAGGCGCCTTTGCACTGAAGTCCTCTGAGATAGCAGTTTCTAAGGGTAGCTATTCCTGCAGTCATTGAGGAAGGGATCTTGAAGTGCAGTTTTGACACCCTGACAGTGTAATGGAGAGTAATTGTCAATCCATATGCCACTGGTAATTAAGATGACTATTTCATCCTGTGATTTTAATAAACACTCATTAAAGAATAGGCTGTAGACATGGATTTCCAATTAAACTTTCTAGGTGCTAAAAATAATTTTGCCAACATTACATTCTATCCATCAGATGTTACTGAGTGTGCTATTTTGGAGAGAACTATTAACATGCACATCCTAGGAACAAGTTACTTGGCTCCCTGACGAATTCTTACGTGATTCCATTTGATCCTCCTGGTAACCCAGAGTTTGATCACTTCCGGACATGGAATCGGCATCTTATTGCATTTTCTCGTTCACCACAGCCAGGTCTTTTTGTCTGCTTAGAATCTCTGTCTAAAGGTATTGGAGCCTAAATGGGACTAGGCAGATCACCCAGGTCACTTACCTGTTCGTTCCTGTAAAATTGAAGAACACAGTGCAATCAATGTAACCTCTACAGCGGTCCCCAACCTTTTTGGCACCAGGGACCGGTTGCATGGAAGACAATTTTTCCTGGGAAGTGGGGGCGCGGGGGGATGGCTCTGGCGGTAATGCGAGCGGTGGGGAGGAGATGAAGCCTCGCTCGCCTGCCCGGCCGATTACCTCCTGCTGTGTGGCCGGGTTCCTAACGGTACCGGTGGGGGACCCCTGCTTTAGTTGCCATCTTAATGAACCCTTCATTTTCTTTCAGCCTATTCCACAGGACCTTTAAAAGTATTTGTTTATACTGAAAGAAATGTATGTTAAATCTGGTATACTGCTCTTAAAGAAACTGACATGATGAGTGAGTTTACACATCCTTACTGATTTGTTTCTTCAACAAAGGCAAACAATAGTTTAAATTCCATATTTAAAGGGAAAGTGCAAAGTGCAAATGACTTGTGAAAGGTACCATACTGATATAAATTTCTATCACTACTAGTAAGTGACTAATGATGGGCAGCAGGTTTATATTTGGGGAGATATTGCCTGTTGAAGGGACAAGAGCAAGTCTGCTGATCTGTGTTAGATGGTAGAAAAGGGGAAGAATAGGAAGAAAGAAGAGTACCCCAAGAGAAAAATTACATTCACAGTGCTGCCCAAGGTGGAAAGTATTGTTGAGGAAAATTGCAGTAGTTTTTTGTTTTAATTTTATTTTTGGCTGCTTTTGGGTCTTCGTTGCTGCGCCCGGGCTTTCTCTAGTTGCGGTGAGCTGGGGCTACTCTTCGTTGCGGTGTGCGGGCTTCTCATTGCGGTGGCTTCTCTTGTTGCGGAGCACGGGGTCTAGGGGCGCGGGCTTCAGTAGCTGTGGCTTGCGGGCTCTAGAGCGCAGGCGCACTAGTTGTGGCGCACGGGCTTCGTTGCTCCGCGGCATGTGGGATCCTCCCGGGCCAGGGCTCAAACCCGTGTCCCTTGCATTGGCAGGCAGGTTCTTAACCACTGCACCACCAGGGAAGCCCAAACTGCAAGTAGTTTTAATTCCTCACTTATTTTGGACTTGTAGCTGAAGCTATTCAATTTACATATTATCTTATAGATATTTAAAAATTCTTATAGAAGTAAGCAATAGAGGTATGTAACTAATAAAAAGTAATCCAGATTTACTTTGCCCCTTTGCAGCTTTCACTTGAGCAAGGCACTATTTTACACGTGTTGAACTTAAGCCACAGAGAAGGTAATTGGCTTGCCCAAGATTATTCAGTACATTCAGGACTAATACTCAAGTATCTAGACCAGCACTGTTCAATGGGATCGTAACGTGAGCCACACATGTAATTTTAAATCTTCCAGTAGCCATATTTCAAAAAGTAAAGAGAAGCATGTGAAACCAATTTTAACAATAGTTTACTTAACCTAATATGTCAAACATATTGCATTTTAATATGCCATCAATATAAAATAACTAGAATGTAATATTTTACATTCTTTTTTTTTTTTTGTACTAAGTGTTGTTTTTTGTTTTTTTTTTTTGCGGTACGCGGGCCTCTCACTGTTGCGGCCTCTCCCGTTGCGGAGCACAGGCTCCGGACGCACAGGCTCAGCGGCCATGGCGGGCCCAGCCGCTCCATGGCATGTGGGATCTTCCCGGACCGGGGCACGAACCCGCGTCCCCTGCATAGGCAGGCGGCCTCCCAACCACTGCGCCACCAGGGAAGCCCCTGTACTAAGTCTTTGAAATCTGGTATGTATTTAACATGCACAGCATATCCCAATTCGGACCAGCCCCATTTTAAATGCTCAGTGGCTACACATGGCTAACGGCTACCATATTGGACAGCACAGATTAGACTCTTCTACTCAAGGTCTTTCAATTAGACCACATATATTGAAAACAACAATCATTTCAAAATCTTTGATAGTCATGCGGCTACCCTACTTTACGCAGGACAAGTGATTTGTGCTTACTTCAAAGACTGAAAACTGAGCCAGAGCCATTAGAACCTTATCTGAGGACAACCACTGGTGGGGATTTCCCATTGGCTGGAATTTCTTTCTGTTGCTGCTTTTGTTGCCAGATGCATGTCTATATCATCAAGACGGTGGTGTTTGTGAATGTGTAAAGAAGGCTCATAGATCTCAATAGCTTGAAGTCTCAGTAAGGTGTGTACTTAGCGACTCAGTGGAAGACATTGTTTTAACAAGTTAGAATTCTTAGCCAAGGTCTCTGCGTAATAGCAGTCTACACATCCAGGAACGGCTGGAAGGAAACTTTGGCTTCTTTCCAGTTACAAGCCTTTCTGAAGGGCTGTGATATCAGAGATGCACAAGGGACCTTGGAATGAGGGAGGGTCAATACTGGTCCACAAATTCTTTAGGATTAAGGACAACTCTATGGGATATTTACAGTATAGGATTATAAATAATCTAAATGACCAGTAATAGAAGAATATTTAAATAATTATGATGGTACAGCAACAAGGTGAAATATGTCGTAATCAAAAATCATTTATGTGAAGAATTTTCCTTGTCATGGGAAAAGAATCACAATATGTTAGGTTAAAAAGCAGTATACAAAATGGTATGGATAATATTATGCTGCTACTATTAAAAATGTGTATGTATATTGAAAAGAGACTGGATAATGTTTTGCTTCTACTATTAAAAATGTGTATGTATATTGAAAAGAGACTAGAAAATATGTCTGTGTACAGTGATAGCGGGATAATGAGTGAATTCCTTTTTATACTTTTTAGTTTCCCAGCTTTCCATGGTAATATCTTTACTTTCCATTAACCAAAAAACCTACACCACTAAAAATATTAATTGACAAATTTGACACAATAGGAAGCAACATACTTCATGAAAGTTATACATTTTGGATTCTTCTTGCCATTTCTTGCAGAATGATTTAGAGTGGCTTACATCTTTAAAAAAAAAAAAAGAGTAAACCAGTGTACTAAGTGGAAAATAACGGAATGGAAAGACATGACTTCTAAAGTGTACTCTAGCCCCAAAGGTCTGTGTTTCCAAATCAAACACATAGTTTTTTTAAAAAAAGGAAAATTATTCCACTAACCAAGGAACTCAGAAAAAATACGTATGCTTTCCCAAAATCAGGCTATGTCTTCTCATGAGTAAATTACAATGTCATATGATTGGAGTTGAATTTTTGTAACTTAGTCATGCTCCTTGAATGATGTTACCAGTTGCTGTTTACCTAACAAGGTGAGAGTTAAGATTCTGACTTTTTAACATCAATAGTCAGGCTGATGAAAGGTGAAATGAACTGAAGTTCTTTCGTTTTAAGAGAAGTTGTTTTCAAGAGAAAAACTAATCAAAAATATCCAATAGTTTAAAAACTTAGTTTAACATTACTGACTACTTTGCATCACAAGTGTTTTTCATTGTGTACCCAAACAAGTTAAAATTTTATTTATAAAATACAGGTCACCCAAAAAGGTGGAGCGGAATAATTTATTTTATCTATCTCTGTTTTTCTTTTCCTGCTATATCTGTTTTTACATTTTAGAAAGTAACTATTAGGAGGGATTTTAGTGGTGAATATCATTAGAGAAATTCCAAGTTTCTTCTTCTTGGCAAGTAAAATTGTTAACTTTTATAAAAGCAAGTATTCGACTCCTATAACTCGACTTGGAAGGAGTTTAAGGTCTGTGTCTGGTGTCCTCACCGGGTACCCATTTGACCCCTGGCACAGAGTAGGTGTTCACTGATTATTTCTTTAATGAATGAATGGGCAACAAACGAGATGGAAAAAGCAGAACTGGTCTTAATATCAGCTAAAGCTAGTTGTAGTCAAACTGCATAAAAGTTAATAAAACTTCATTTATTAACTTCACTTATCTGCTGTGAACAGATAACTATCTTGGATATTTCCGGTGATCCCTTCAGTTTGGTAACTCTCTGTTACAAGTGAAATAATTTGAATATGGGAGGTTAGAGAAGGCAGAAATCTTTAAGAGTGTGTTAGAAACCTCTTTTTAATCACAAAATAAAATGCAGGGCCCTGGCAATATTTCCAGGCAGCAGCTTTAGCTACTAAGAACACTAAACATAAAAATCGGTTTGTATCATGTTGTTCCCAGCAGAAGCAGTTACCAGTTAGTAAAATCTGTTTGCATGGTGATTACCTTGATCTAAGGTGGCAAGTCTAGAAAAGGACCAGAAGAGGGAAAGACACATCTATTAGCTGCTTGGCCAGGGCAGTATGGAATTGGCAGAGGACAAATAGACCTGTGGTTATTTCTGTTCTTGTACAAAGAACAGAGGATAAAGTTTCTTTGCCTTTCTTGCAATTTCATCTGTGACCATAACCATTCCTCACATTCGCCCAATTAAATGACATTTAATTCACTCAATTAAATGTCCAGATAAGTATCATGATGTGGTTAAGAGCACAGGCATACAAACGAATTGAACTGGGACACGTTATTTGAAGTCTCTTTGCTTCAGCATCTCCAAAAATGGAGACAAAATTCATATTTGTCTCACAGTGTTGTTTTGAGGACAGAATTAGTGAAACTATGTAAAGTACTTACACACGATGACAGGCATATAGTAAATATTAAATAAATGTTAGCTATTACTATTAGTAGTAGTAGTAATATTATTAGATATTTTCTCTTCTCTAGAACCTAAAACTTGTGAGGAAAATTAAGAAAATATCTCAAATAGTTATATTTCCTTTACTTTAATATGTATTTTCTTCTCCCTCACCTACATTTAAATAATGTTATGTGTCAGGGGAGGTGAGGATATAGGAGAAGATCTCAATAACTAGAGAAGTAGAAGTTCAAACCCAAGAAAGTTGGGGAAAACGAGATAGCCATCTCTGAGCTTCACTCTGAGAGTGGACACGCTTTATTAGATGCTATTGCAATTCCATTTACACTGAGGCTTTAAGAATTTTGTCACAAGAACCTGAAATTTCAATGATTTACACTGAATCTGGTCACGTCTATTATGTTGATCATCATGCTTATGTTACTACGTTTATTTTCAACAATGCGAAAGCAGAAAAGTCCTTTCAGAAGAAACTCATATAACCAGCTGGCCATCTTACGCCTCAAGGTAACACAAGCCAGTTGGGAACTGGATGGTTCAATAATTCTTATACTGCACTGTCTCTTCTCCCTAAGTAGAAAGTAACATAAAGCGTTCAGGCAGGCAAAACTTCACTGAACCCAGCAGTTGCCAGTTTTCACCTAGTGGAGTAAAACAGTCGATAGCTCAACTACGGAAGCAGGGTAATAACTTTTCTAGTTAGCAGTTGTAATGGGAAAAAAAAAACTGAACTTAACTAAATAGAGGAACAGTGATTTTAAAACTCCAGCGAAGTAAAATTAATTTAGCTGAGCATTTTATAGTGAGGATTGGCTGGAGAGACGGATTTGCATTCAAAATGCCCTTGATACACCAGAAAAGTGGGCAGATATAGGCTTAAGTAGGATAAAGCTTAAGTAGGATAAGTGCAGGGTTTTCACTAGGGAAGCCTGTCTGGGTTGCACGTATGAAAGACAGAAAATTACCGCCATTTGCAGAGAAGATAGAAAACATTCTTGAGGCTAAAAAGTGACCACAGACTAGACGAGACCCACAGAGACGCTTCATGGGATGAAGTGCTTTTTAACAAAGAAGACCCAGAACTACAATATAATCTTATTACTATGTCCCATTTCATTTATGCCAACAGAGCCTGTGATTTCAGCAAGATCCTGAGAGAAGAGCATCCAGAAAGAAAACAGGAATGATTTAATAATGGATTGAAAACAGGCTCTGGGAGGAACGGCCAAAGGAATGGAGATATTTGACCTATAAAGGAAGAGGCTGAAGTAGATGTGTTAATATGAGTCTTTATTCTGAGAATAGGACCTTTTTTCTTTCACGTTTCTTCCAGGTAGCAAAGACAGGGTGGGAAAGAGGGACTTGAAGAGGTAACACTTATGAGGGTTTAAGTAACCTGCCCAAGAAGACGTAGCTAGAGACTGTCAGAGCCAGATATAAGTCCACATTTCCTTGATTCCAATATGCAGGCTCTTTCCACTGTTCTACACTGTCTTCCTGTTGGTGTTTTTGCTTGAGATTTTTAGTAATTCATGCAAGTTTCTGGATATTTTGTTGCTTTTAGAGGAGACAGAGATAAAAGTCTCACTACCTTGGAGCCCAACAGTTCCCAGACATAATACGTGGCCATTAGACATCAACGCCAGTGGAACCGGTCAAGATTTACAGCTTTGCTCTGGAATTAAACTGATAGTTACTGTCTACATTTCTCTTGTTACTACTTGTTTTATAGTTTAACATCACAGGAATATAGCACAGAAAAAAAAATCCAGCCTCTCCTCAGCTAAATCTTGAAAGATAAGACATCTTCTGGGTACCATTCAACGTCTTAATGTATAAGTTAGGTAAATAAGCTCTTTGTTTTAGTCCAGTTGGACAAAGCATGGCTTTTAATTCAAATACTCATCACAAATCTAAGCTACACCCTACATATTTTAGATTCTCTACTGTAACTGCTAATGGAGACCTTGCTTCACCATCATTTTAACAACAATGATGATGGTGGTGATGGGGGGGATTGTGTGTGTGTGTGTGTGTGTGTGTGTGTGTATTTTATGTGTAAATGTCTGCCTGTGTAGTATGAGGAAGAATCAGTAATTGCAGAGTAGAAATAACAGTAAGCTTTAAATGAAAATACTTTTGACTATGTTAGTGATGGAGAAATGGACCAGATAGGGAGGAAATGGGGAGAAAACTAGAAAGAAAAAGGGCGGGGGGGGCGGGAAATGGGAGTAGAAGGAGAGAAAGATAGAAGGCAGGGAAAGAAGAAAGAGAGTAAGAAGGGAGAAAAACTAGACTGACCCCGAGGACCCTCATTTGAGGTCGTTCATGGTGCATCACAGCCATCTGTACATAACACAAGAAATGAGAATGTGTACTTCAAAGAGAAATTCGTGTTTGGAGTTTTCTAATATCAGAGTAGATTTGGAGCTTGCAGCATAACTATACGGTGTCCTTTCAATACAAAGATAATGTTACTGATCCATTGCTAAAAAATACATAGATTTGGACACATTGTTCTGGAAATAGACACGGATTTCCATACCACTCATGCCAATTACCTGCTCTTTCTTCTGCCTAATAACCTACATCACCGGGATGGAAGACTGGAGCTGAGATTTATTCCAAGTCTACGTAACTGAACAAAAGCAACCGGTCTGTCCAGTGACCAAAGCTCAGATGCTGAACATCCGTACCTGTCCATCGGTTCCAATGGTGCCTCCACAGTCCGTGAGCAGCTCTGACATGTCATAGTAGCTAACGAACTCCCATAAGCAGGCTTCCAGGTTCAGATTTCGGTAAAAGCGCAAGGTATTGGAACCCCTGATAGATGAGCTGTACTGGTAAGGATACGTCTCTCCGATTATTTCTGGATTTTTGGTAGCCTCAGTCAAGAACCCGTGGTGGGTCTTTACTTCAGTATAATCCAGGAGGTTGGAGCATTTGTGGTTTCCAACTCGTGTACCATCAGGGCTGAGGGTGAGCTCAAAGTTGGAGAGCTCCTTGGTGGAGATCACGGGGAGCATGCCTACAAGGGATTTTTGTAAATCACTGTTACCATTTTTACCGACAGCAAAGGCCTTTGAACACTTTATAATCTCTTTATCTCTTGAGAAGACAAGTGTTATAAAATACTGCAGAGCAGTGATTATAAAAGTGGTATCTTAGGACCCCGGAGGATCCCGAGAATATTTCAGGAGATCTACAACATTAAAGCTATTTTCACGACTGTAAGGTATTATTGGACTTTTCCACGCTTATTTTCTCAGTAGTGTACAGTGGAGTTTTTCAGAGGCTAAAATAAATCATATATTGCAATAGATTGAATGCAGAAGCAGACATAAGAATCCAGCTGTCTTTTATTAAGCCAGACACTAAAGATATTTTCAAAAATGTGAAACTATGCCACTTTTTTGTTTTGCTTTATAAATTGTAGTTCTTTTTCTTAAAAGTATGTTTTTCGTGTTAACACGTAATAGATTTATTCTTATTTAAAAATTAATGAATAAATACATATTTAACAATACCTCAATTTTAAATCCAGTAAATATTTATAGCTATAACCCACAAAACAAAAGGTCTTTGTGGCCATAAATAATGTTGAGGGTGTCCTCAGACCAAAAAGTTTGAAAACTACCACTATACGGTATAGGCTAAGAGTTGGCAAACCTCTTCTGTAAGGAGCCAAACTGTAAATATTGTAAGGATTTGTGGGCCACAAGGTCTCTGTTGCAACTGCTCAAAGCTGCCATTGCAGAGCCAGAGCTGCCATAGATGATTTGTAAAGGAATTCACATAACTGTGTGCAAGAAGACTTAATCACGGCCAATGGATTAGAATTTTATATAATTTTCATGTGTCATGAAATATTCTACTTTCAAAGAAGAAGAAGGTTTGGTTTCTTCCAAACATTAAAAAATGTGAAAACCATTTTTAGCTTGCAGACCATAAAAAAAAAAGGTAGAAGGCTAGATCCAGTCCATGGGACACAGTTGGTTGAGCCCTGGCATAAGCAATGCAGCAAAAAGGACTGTGAAAGGGGTCTTCTCTTGACACCTTTTCCACCTCTCCCTCTTAGATCCTCTGGCCCCGCAAAAGAACTGGTCAGCTTCTGCGGAGCTACGGCTATCGAATGTTTCAGAAAATGCTAAGTCAAGCTCTAGGAGAAGCACGAGGGACCAATCTTTCTATTAGGAAGAACTATTATAGGTCTGCCCTTCCCTGATGGTCCCTTCTGCCCTCTGCACATCTGAATCACACATCCCATATGGGTCTAAAGGCAGGGTGGTCAAACATGGACCCAACATTACACTGTAAAGTAAGGAGGTGCAGATTCCTGTCCATCTATGCCCACCAGCATAAGTTTGGGTTTGTAATAAGCAGACAAAGCAGAATTATGTCCTTTTTATAAGGCAGGTAAATTCTACCTTATAGTTCCTAATATTGCCTAATGCTTCCTGTCCTTTAGGTACTTAAAATATAACTAACATACTAAGTAATAATATTAATATACTTCAGGAATAAAGCGAATTAAGAGGAATAGAACTTGAAAATGTCTTCTGTACCTGAGGAAATGTTCATAAAATGTGGGTAAAGTTACTGACTCAGAAATTCTGCCCACACTTCCCTATCCAGAGAAAATGGACACAAAATTTAACATTGTTAATTGCTTTTTTTTTTTTACCTTATTTTAATGCCTAGGAAATGTCTTAGTTGTTGCAATAAATACTGGGAAAGATCTATGAGACTCCAGATATGGAAAAGCAAATAGGTGTTGAAGGCAGGGATTGAGATTCCAAATTGCTTTCCTGTAAGTCCAAGCTCAAGAGTTTTGAAGGCACACTGTGCCGTGTCATAAAAGACAGCAAGCACGTTAACCAAAGCTTTGTTTCATTGTGTTGTGACATGTGTGAAATTTATCTAATTTTAAAGAACGTCAAAATTGTCAGACTTGAGAAAAAAACTGGCAGAAAGAAAACAGAAACACTCAAAAGAAGCAGGACTTGAAGCTTAAGTTGCAAACTGAGCATTTATTGTATGCTTGGTCATTCAGAAAACAGGCAGACCTCAGAGATATTGCAGGTTTGGTTCCAGACCAACGCAATGAGGCAAGTATTGAAATCAAGTGAGTCACATGAATTTTTTGTTTCCCAGTGCATATAAAAGTTATGTTAAAATTTACTAGGATATAGAAGATGTGGTACATATACACAACGGAATATTACTCAACCATGAAAAGAATGAAATAATGCCATTTGCAGAAACTTTGGATGGACCTAGAGATTACCATACTAAGTGAAGTAAGTCAGACAAAGACAAATATCACTTATATGTGGAATCTGATAAAAAAGTGATATGAATGAATTTATTTACAAAACAGAATCAGACTCACAGAGCTCGAAATCAAATTTATGGTTACCAAAGGGGAAACGTGGGAGGAAGTGACCAATTAGGAGACTGGCTTGGGATTGACATATACACACTACTGTGTATAAAACAGATATCTAACAAGGACCTACTGTATAGCACAGGGGACTCTACTCAGTTTTCTGTAATAACCTATATGGGGAAGAATCTGAAAAAGAATGGAAAATATATACATATGTATAACTGATTCACTTTCCTGTACACCTGAAACTAACACAACATTGTGAGTCAACTATACTGCAACAAAAAAATTAAAAACAAACCATACTGTAGGCTATAAAGTGTGCAATAGCGTATGTCTAAAAAGCAATGTACACACCTTCATTAAAAAATACTCTGTTACTAAAAAATGCTAACTATCCCGAGGGAGTCTTAATCTTTTTGCTGGTGGAGGGTTTGAAATATTGAGAGAATTACCAAAATGTGAGACAGAGACATGAAGTGAGCAGGTGGTGTTGGAAAAATGGCGCTGACAGACTTGCTGGAAGCGGGGTTGCCACCAACCTTCCATTTTTAAAAAAACGCAGTATCTGGGAAGTGCAATAAAATGAGGTCTGCCTGTGTTCAGTCAAATAAAGCAGGTAAAGAGAAGCCCAAACCACCTCCATGGATTTGCTTTCCCAAGTCACCTACCGTCTATGTGGGGCATGGTGACGGCGAGCCTGATGAGGTTGGTATACTCTGGGTCCTCGGGACCCGTGTAGCGCAATTTAGCTGAGAAGGGCTCTGCTCCCACTATCCCTGGCACCCGGGGCTGACAAAGACCTCGAGGCAAAATGAAGACATTTATGCTAAAAGAAGATAATAGACAACACTGGAAGTATATATTTTTAAATAGGCACTATGAATTTTCTGTGTACTTTAAAATTCTCTGTGAACTAAGGCACTGCTGAGAGTTGATATTATGACGAAGCAAAAGACCATCATGGGAAAAGTAATCCCAGCAGACAGTTCAATGGCTTCTTCTTAACATTTGGGGTGTTTTATAAAGTTTAAGAAAAAATAAATATTGTTCAATGTGATTTAATTTGTGCTGGACACCATCTGTTATGGTCATATTCACAAAATCGTCTTAACATAAAGTATAAACAGGCATAGTAAAAATGATTGAAAAACAACAGGAAAAAGTAAGTGTAGCTTAATTAAATGAATGAGATTGTTACCTTAGAATTAAATCCTTAAGACTAGTCATAAAATTTACATTATTTATAATAAAACTAAAAATGCACTCATTCTAAAAAACAAAAACTAGCCTTCTTAGAATCAGAGAGCAAAATATATAGTTTTCTCTATATATGTAATTTCTTACAGTATGTGTATTACAAATTATAACTCATTGTCTAATCTATCTATCTATCTATCTAGAATTTTAACATGAAAAACTTCCTCGTATGTTTGCTTTGAAAGCACTGTAGTGTCTTCATTTTAATACCATGGAAGAGACCGCCCGATGCTGGATCACAGTTTCCAGAGAACTAGGCAATAAATAACTTCTTTTCTGTCTGTAGAAAACAGATCAGAATCAGGCCCTAGCATCTGGGATGTCTGCTCTATTAATTGGGGGTGACTCACTTTAAGGCATTGTTTAATTTAGTTTTGGTACCAACACAATAGTTTGGTTTTAAGAGAAATCTAAAAACCATACATTCTAATCCTAATAAAAGAACATGGTTACTCTACGTGTTATCAATAAATATTGATCCTGAGTATATAATGGTGGGAGGTGGTACATATAACTTTTCTTGCTGCAACATATGTACATCCGAAGTGTTGTACACAAATGGAATTTTTAGAAATAGAATCTTATTAAAAGACTGTTATTTGAAAACTCTGATTTAAACATTCTTCTGCAGAGTAAAGGATTAGTTTATAAAGTGGATTTCCTGTCTCGTCAGTGTTGTCTCCGGCCACATGTATCTTCCACCTCCACTGTGTCCGGGCCCTAGCCCTGACCTCAACCTCCCCTCTAATAACCAAGTATGGACACTAGTACACACCTCTCTACCTGGACTGTCCTTCCCCTCCTGCCCCGGCAAACTCCTGTTCAGCCAGCCACCAGCTGGGAGTGATACGGCATCACATATGAGCTGCCCTGTCCAGATCCGACCCTTGCGTACCAACTGCTTCGTCTCCTGATCTCCCTTCCTCTCCCTTTCATCCTGCCCCATTTCTCTGCTTGTAGTTCCCAGAATACTCCACGTTTTTTCATGCTTCTACGAGTCATTGCTCATGCTTGTTTTCCCCTACTGTTTTCAAGACTCAGCTTAAGCATCTCCTCTTTGATGAAACCTTTCCAGATCCAGTCAGGCTAGAACCCATCACTACTACTTTTGCATTTCTGTGTCCTGTCCAGACTAAAATTTGTCTGTGTCTTCAGTTTGAGTATGGACTCCTGGAAGGCAGGAATCCTGCCTTATTTTTCATATGACAGCCAAAAGCCTGACATATGCTCAGTGATCGAAAAATGCAAAATGAATAAATATTTGTTTTCTAATGAATATTTTTGCGAAAATAGATTATCATTTAAAAATACTTATAGAGGGCTTCCCTGGTGGTGCAGGGGTTGAGAGTCTGCCTGCCGATGCAGGGGACACGGGTTTGTGCCCCGGTCCGGGAAGATCCCACATGCCGCAGAGCGGCTGGCCCGTGAACCATGGCCGCTGAGCCTGCGCATCCGGAGCCTGTGCTCCGCAACGGGAGAGGCCACAACAGTAAGAGGCCCGCGTACCGCAAAAAAAACAAAAAAAAAAAAAACAAAAAAAACCCGTATAGAGTATTACGGAATACATGGGGCATTTGGAGGAATGAATAACTGGAAATTAGACATATATAACATTCCATGGTATTCCAGCGACCTTCATGTGAAAACGGCCATGCACTACCTTCTTCTCTGCCGATGGTTACGGTAGGGCTCATCAGCTCCAAGCCTTCATTGCCATCGGCATTCACAGCCCGAGCCGCACACTGCACCCTGGAGCCAGGCTGGAAGTATATGGAGTCTAAACTGATCCTCTTGGATGAAGTGAAAAAGGTGTCAAAGTCCACTTCTCTCATGGGGCTGGTGACTCCGTCGGGGCCCGCGGGTGCGCTGATCAGCCATCGGTACCGGGTCAAAGTGTCATTGATGTTCTCACTTGCACAAATGGATCCTGTTTTGTCATAGTCCGGATATTTAGGGTTGCAAGCCTATGGGAAACAAGTAACTATGTTAGGGCCACAGTTTAGAACAAGGTGGAAATTATTCCTCTGAAGTTCTCTCTCCCTTAGTGTTTTCACTGCTACTTTTTTTCCATTTCTACATGTTATTCATGCAACTTTCAAATTCCTAGTCCTCGCGATGCTAGCTTTTATGAACTCTAATCTTGCATTTCAAACAGCTTATTGGCCGTTTCCACCTTTAACCTGATACGAGTAAAAGTGATACTCATTTCATCATCTCTGGAATCCTCAGAGTTGTCGAATCGTCCTTGTTCTTTTCTCTCTCCCTCTCTTCTCTCTCTCATTTTGCCCCCAACATCCAGTGGGTCAGTGAACTTGGTTGATTCTTTTTGTAGGATGTCTCTTAAGTTGGTCTTTTCCTTCCCATTCCAAGCATCACCTTTCTATCTAATTCAGGGCCTTTCTCGTCAGGTGACCCCGGTTGCCATGGTAACACTCCAATACAACCCCTCTTCTCATGCCATTCTTCTGTGCAAGAGCTCCCTGCTACCCAACAAATAAAGTGCACGTTCCTTAATATAACATTTCAAGACCTCTGTAACTTGCACCGCATTATTATTTCTGCCTTGCTAATCCAATAAACATTTATTGTATACCTATTATACGTAGGTCATTACACCAGGGGTATTGCAAAGTAAGAATAAATGCATCCCAGTTTTTGCTCACAAGGAGCTTATAATTCAAAGGTGAGAGAAGGCAATTGAAAAAGTAACTATGCCATTTGTAAGGCAACCACTTCATACAGGAATGACGTTTCCTTATGTGATTCTTTATTTTTTTATAGGTATAGGAATGCCAGAGATTTCTGTGCATTAATTTTGTATGCTGCTACTTTATCAAATTCATTGATTAGCTCTAGTAGTTTTCTGGTAGCATCTTTAGGATTCTCTATGTATAGTATCATGTCATCTGCAAACAGTGACAGCTTTACTTCTTTTCCAATTTGGATTCCTTTTATTTCTTTTTCTTCTCTGATTGCTGTGGCTAAAACTTCCAAAACTATGTTGAATAATAGTGGTGAGACTGGGCAACCTTGTCTTATTCCTGATTGTAGTGGAAATGGTTTCAGTTTCTCACCATTGAGGAGGATGTTGGCTGTGGGTTTGTCATATATGGCCTTTATTATGTTGAGGAAAGTTCCCTCTATGCCTATTTTCTGCAGAGTTTTTATCATAAGTGGTGTTGAATTTTGCTGAAAGCTTTCTCTGCATCTATTGAGATGATCATATGATTTTTCTCCTTCAATTTGTTAATATGGTGTCACATTGATTGATTTGCATATATTGAAGAATCCTTGCATTCCTGGGATAAACCCCACTTGATCATGGTGTATGATCCCTTTAATGTGCTGTTGGATTCTGTTTGCTACTATTTTGTTGAGGATTTTTGCATCTATGTTCATCAGTGATATTGGCCTATAGTTTTTTCTTTGTGACATCTTTGTCTGGTTTTGATATTAGGGTGATGGTGGCCTCGTAGAATGAGTTTAGGAGTGTTCCTCCCTCTGCTATATTTTGGAAGAGTCTGAGAAGGATAGGTGTTGGCTCTTCTCTAAATGTTTGATAGAATTTACCTGTGAAGCCATCTGGTCCTGGGCTTTGGTTTGTTGCAAGATTTTTAATCACAGTCTCAGTCTTAATTTCAGTGCTTGATATTGGTCTGTTTATATTTTCTATTTCTTCCTGGTTCAGTCTCAGAAGGTTGTGCTTTTCTGAGAATTTTCCATTTCTTCCAGGTTGTCCATTTTATTGGCATATAGTTGCTTGCAGTAATTTCTCATGATCTTATGTATTTCTGTAGTGTCAGTTGTTACTTCTACTTTTCAATTTCTAATTCTATTGATTTGAGTCTTCTCCCTTTTTTTCTTGATGAGTCTGGCTAATGGTTTATCAATTTTGTTTATCTTCTCAAAGAACCAGCTTTTAGCTTTATTGATCTTTGCTATCGTTTCCTTCATTTCTCTTTCATTTATTTCGGATCTGATCTTTATGATTTCTTTCCTTCTGCTAACTTTGGGGCTTTTTGTTCTTCTTTCTCTAATTGCTTGAGGTGCAAGGTTAGGTTGTTTATTTGAGATGTTTCCTGTTTCTTAAGGTAGGATTGTATTGCTATAAACTTCCCTCTTAGAACTACTTTTGCTGCATCCCATAGGTTTTGGGTCGTTGTGTCTCCATTGTCATTTGTTTCTAGGTATTTTTTGATTCCCTCTTTGATTTCTTCAGTGATCACTTCATTATTAAGTAGTGTATTGTTTAGCCTCCATGTGTTTGTATTTTTTACAGATCTTTTCCTGTAATTGATATCTAGTCTCATAGCGTTGTGGTCAGAAAAGATACTTGATACGATTTCAATTTTCTTAAATTTACCAAGGCTTGATTTGTGACCCAAGATATGATCTATCCTGGAGAATGTTCCATGAGCACTTGAGAAAAATGTGTATTCTGTTATTTTTGGATGGAATGTCCTATAAATATCAATTAAGTCCATCTTGTTGAATGTATCATTTAAAGCTTGTGTTTCCTTATTTATTTTCATTTTGGATGATCTGTCCATTGGTGAAAGTGGGGTGTTAAAGTCCCCTACTATGATTGTGTTACTGTCCATTTCCCCTTTTATGGCTGTTAGCATTTGCCTTATGTATTGAGGTGCTCCTATGTTGGATGCATAAATATTTACAATTGTTATATCTTATTCTTGGATTGATCCCTTGATCATTATGTAGTGTCCTTCTTTGTCTCTTGTAATAGTCTTTATTTTAAAGTCTATTTTGTCTGATACGAGAATTGCTACTCCAGCTTTCTTTTGATTTCCATTTGCATGGAATATCTTTTTCCATCCCCTCACTTTCAGTCTGTATGTGTCTCTAGGTCTGAAGTGGGTCTCTTGTAGACAGCAAATATATGGGTCTTGTTTTTGTATCCATTCAGCCAATCTGTGTCTTTTGGTTGGAACATTTAGTCCATTTACATTTAAGGTAATTATCGATATGTATGTTCCTATTCCCATTTTCTTAATTGTTTTGGGTTCGTTATTGTAGGTCTTTTCCTCCTCTTGTGTTTCTTGCCTAGAGAAGTTCCTTTAGCAGTTGTTGTAAAGCTGGTTTGGTGGTGCTGAACTCTCTCAGCTTTTGCTTGTCTGTAAAGGTTTTAATTTCTCCATCAAATCTGAATGAGATCCTTGCTGGTTAGAGTAATCTTGGTTGCAGGTTTTTCTCCTTCATCACTTTAAGTATGTCCTGCCAGTCCCTTCTGGCTTGCAGAGTTTCTGCTGAAAGATAAGCTGTTAACCTTATGGGGATTCCCCCTATGTGACTCTTAAACTATTGACATTTTCATCGGACGATCCCAAACCTTCCCTCACAGGTGGAGCTGCTGTTCTATCTCCTAGTTTGTATAATGATCACATCATGCCTTATAGTAAAGTGACTGATTCTTATATATTTTTCTCTCCCTTTTGTTTAAATCCTTGAGTGTAGAGTTCATATCTTATTTTTTTTTCTCTCAGTGGCAAACCCTGAGATAATATGAGATAACACACTATGTGTACATCAGTTAGTAAACCTTTGTTGGATGAAGGAAGAAAAATAGGACCTTTACTTGATCAACAGTTTCCTTTCAAAAGTTCATAGATTAAATCCTGCAGTTTTCCCCCACTTTTATTTCATCATGACAAAGCCCATACTATATTGGTTAATGTTCATGATTATTTTAACTATTTTACAATTTTCCTCAACTTCCTACTCACCGTGATACAGACAACAGGATAACCAGACACAGGTCCAGCACTCTCTCTGGCTCTGTAAGTGTCATCATACATCAGTAAGGACACAATTTGAGGGACAGAAGGAAAAGTGACATCTGCCATGCTGTTCAATTCTTCTATGTACACAATGGCTTTGGTGGCCTAGAAGGAAAAGATAATTCTCCATGATTACTGACATACTAGACTCATGCTGCTTCTATTGTGCAGAACAATACTCACAATGCTTGGCAAGTCCATGGCTTCATTATAGTAAAAATTGTCACACCCAGAGCCTCTGCAGTGTGACAGGCTCTATGTGCTTTGTTCCTCATGACCCTGGCACCTGGGCCATATCTTATGGTGCAGGGGAGGGTACCCGAGTCCTGGGTTGGCCAGTGGCCCACAAAGTATTTGGGCTTGAATTTTTTTCTCCAAATTGTGATGATAGTAGTTAAGTCTGTCTCGGGGTGGTAAAGTGGAAGATCCATGAAAAAGTCAATTAGTTAATAGTGGGAGGAAAGCTGAAAGAGACCAGGGAGAAGGCAGATCCCAGAGGTCACGTGACAGCATGGACCCTGCTGAAGTGGAAATCAGGTGAAAAGTGAAGCTTCAGAGGAGCAGAGGACAGAAGCACAGGCAGAGGGAGAAGCTGAGTCAGACAGAAGAGGAACCTGTGAACATCTACTGGGGGTAGAATGACAAGGAAACCCCACTGACACATTTGCCTTTTGCTCCCGAATCATCTTCCAATATCCAACGATACATTGCAGTTTCCAAGCCTATATTTACGTGTGTCTTCTTAAAAGGGGCTTTGATCACTTGAAGTGATTTGAGTGAATCTCTGTTCCTCTTACTCTAAAGAGTTTAATATGATGCTCCATAAAAACTAAAGACTCACTTCTTATGTGATCAAGACTTACAAAAATATATTGAAAAAGATTTTCTGCCCCTACTTCTTGCATTTTAAATATGACTTAAAAAAAAAAAAACCCAAGGCACTGTAAATACCATCAAGTAGTAAAAATTATAAAATATTAAAAATACCTGTACTTAAGGGAAAAAAAAGTCTCCCCAATTTGATCTCATGCTAATAGTGAAACAAATAATAAAAGAAATCGAGTAAATGTAAGCACAGATACTGTAAACATTGGCCTGTTCGTTAAATCATTTAGCTTTAAAAATTAGGCTTAAAGGTCAAAATTCTACGGAAATTACATTTATCTTGAAGAATATCTGGTTGATGAAATAATATAAATTAAATAAACACAGGAAAGAAGTGCTAGGACAGTAACATTTGGGTCATTGAGGCTCTGGACATCAATTTAATAAAGTTACAATGAGCAGGTGGGAATTTTGAGGGTTAGCAAACTGTTTTGTGGGTTGAAATGTGTGTTTTAATGAGTTGTGGCACTAAATTAATAGCCTCATCTTTGTGCTGAGACTATGCCTTCTCTCTGGAGGTTAACCCCAGATTCAGTCGTTACTGACTAAAATAGGAAGGGTAACTGGGCTGATGCAGGACTCGGAGGCTCTAGTCCTTGAGTTTCTACAAACATGATTTTTCAAGAAAGAGACAGGAATTTTTTATTTTGGCTGCACCATGGGTCTTGCAGGATCTTAGTTCCTTGACCAGGGATCGAACGCGTGCCCTCGGCAGTGAAAGCATGGAGTCCTGACCATTGGACCGCCAGGGAATTTAGGACTTTTTTTTTTTTTTTTTTTTTTTTT